AATACTCGAATCTGCTGCTAACTTTACTTACATTTTTTTATCAACGGTCTTAGGTTAGTGAAATTTTCAATGCTGAAAGTTTCAGCTTGGCTGTAGATACTTCTGTAAAAAGTGAGAGTTTTTCGGTGAAACTACCCCATAGTATTCAACTACAGTTTTTGTTCTCATATTAGCATTATTATTTAGTGAAAGACATTGTAGAAATTACTGAATTGGTCAGTTTTTGAGATGCCTGATATATGGATGCAGAGAAAAATGCAAATATTCGTTATCAATGCATCTAAGAAAATGATCGAAACGAAAAATAGTCGGAAAATTTATATTAAAAGAACAAAAGGTTTCAGCTGTATGACAAAAAAACGAAGGGTGTGGGTTGATGGTTCTTGCATCTCCATACATTAACATCTGCACGCACACCCTAGTTCCACTCTTCTATTAGAATTCGTTTCGACATAACTTCATGAAAATCTGTAGCACTTAAAATTTTAGTTTTGAAAAGAAATTCTAATTTATATGCTCCTTTGTAGTGATTTGCAATTTGCTAATAAGATCGTCTGCCTTTTCTTTTCCATTGGTTTAGCTTATTCTTCAACGTTTAAAGTTTTATTAAATTTTTTGTTCTTTTATTATAAATTTTTCACATCAGCCAATTTTCGTTAGATCATTTTTCACTTTCCAACCATCAATAATGGAATTTATTACTCATTATTTACAATGAGTTTTGAATAATAAATCACTGTATGAAAATGTCCTTTTACAAATATGAAAAACAAACAAAAAGGTAAAAAAAAACGTCACCTTGTAACGTAAAATCATCGTAAAACGAGGTTGTTGAGTGTAAGTGTGAATGAATGTGTTGATGAAGGATAGATTATAATACACATTCACAACTAGTACCTCAATTTTTAATGAAACTGTCTTTTGTTTAGTCTCTTGTACACAAGACCAACGATTTTGATATCAGATGAAAGCTTTCGTTGTCATGAACTGCTGTATGTATATATGTGACGGTGATAAACAATGAAAAAAGTTGAGGAAACGTTTTTCCGTACAATTTGTTCTAAGCTTTCTATGAACATCGGGAAACATTTTTGATCAAATTCTTTGATTTTGTATTCTCAGAATATCAATAAGTTTCATATCAAATCTCTATACAACATAGAATGAAGAAAAACACAGTCAAATGATGCTTAATTTCACGATCCACATATAGATTTCAATTTTTTATATTATCTAAAGTAAACAAATAATATTTCTAACGCTCATAACTTTATTATAGCTACTACCTTTTAAGTTTCTAATCATTTAATTTTCATTTTCTCTGTTGAAAATTTATTTTCATCTCTTTTGTTCTGTTTACTCTGAATGTATAATAGACTACCAATGTTATGCGCAATTTTGTCTTTCATTGTAGTTGAATTATATTATTTTTATCCTTGAAAAACATGTTTTCAAAAATATTAAATGTCATTACAAATATGTTTGTTGACACTCGCAACAAGACAAAATGCTAAACCAACATTATAGAATACACAAAAAAAGGTGAAAAAGTTTAATTGTCATCACTGCA